TTTCAAACTTGGTTGCATTCATGAGCCATGAGCATGTGTTTGAGCAAGTCTCACTCACATGCANGGCTCAACTCTCACATGATGACATTCCGTTTCAAACTTGGTTGCATTCATGAGCCATGAGCATGTGTTTGAGCAAGTCTCACTCACATGCATGGCCGAACTCTCACATGATGGCATTTCAGTTCATACTTGGTTGATCTTTCCTCTATGTGCATGTGCCTTTCACTAGTTCAAGCTTCACATTGTCAAGTCCATGTGTATTGTATTGTTTCGATTCATACTTAGTTCATCTTTCCTCCATGTGCATGTGTTTTTCACTAGTTCAATCTTCACATTGTCAAGTTCATGAGAGTTGTAGTGTTCCGATTCATCATTTGGTTGCTCTTTCCTCCACGTCTATGTGTTTCACTAGATTAATCCTCACATTGTCAAGTCCATGTGTGTTGTAGTGTTCCGGTTCATACTTAGTTGATCTTTCCTCTATGTGCATGTGTCTTTCACTAGTTCAAGCTTCACATTGTCAAGCCCATGTGTGTTGTAATGTTTCGGTTCATACTTAGTTTATTTTTCCTCCATGTACATGTGTTTTTCACTAGTTCAATCTTCACACTGTCAAGTTCATGTGAGTTGTAATGTTCCGAGTCATCACTCGGTTGCTCTTTCCTCCATGGGCATGCGTTTTTCACTAGTTCAAACTTCACATTGTCAAGTTCATGTGTGTTGTAGTATTCCGGTTCATACATAGTTGATCTTTCCTTCTATGTGCATGTGTTTTTCACTAGTTCAAACTTTACATTGTCAAGTTCATATGTGTTGTAATGTTCCAGTTCATACTTAGTTGATCTTTCCTCCATATACATGTGTTTTTCACTAGTTCAATCCTCACATTGTCAAGTTCATGTAAGTTGTAATGTTCCGGTCCATACTTAGTTGATCTTTCCTCCATGTACATGTGTTTTTCACTAGTTCAGTCCTCACATTGTCAAGTTCATGTGAGTTGTAGTGTTACGATTCCTCACTTGGTTTCTCCTTCCTCCATGCGCATGTGTTTCACTAGTTTAAGCTTCACATTGTCAAGTTCATGTGTGTTGTAGTGTTTCGGTTCATACTTAGTTGATCTTTCCTCCATTTGCATGTGCTTTTCACTAGTTCAACCTTCACATTGTCAAGTTGATGTGTGTTGTAATGTTCCGATTCATGCTTGGTTGCTCCTTCCCCCATGTGCATGTGCTTTTCACTAGTTCAATCTCCACATTGTCAAGTTCGTGTGTGTTGTATTGTTCCGGTTCATACTTAGTTGATCTTTCCCTCATGTGCATGTGTTTTTCACTAGTTCAATCTTCACATTGTCAAGTTCATGTGTGTTGTAGTGTTCTGATTCAACACTCGGTAACTCTTTCACTATGGGATGGGTGACCGACATTTGGCTGCTACCACTATGGGATGGGTGACCGACATTTGGCTGCTACTACGGTGTGATGATTTTGATAAGGGCTAGAAGTCTTTTTTTTTTTTTTTTTTTTTTT